GAGTGTGTGTGTGTATATATACTTGGGTGTATATATACACATGTGTATGTGTGCATGTGTATATGTACATGAATGTGTGTGTGTGTATATGTACTTGGGTGTATATATACACATGTGTATGTGTGCATGTGTATATGTACATGAGTGTGTGTGTGTATATATACTTGGGTGTATATATACACATGTGTATGTGTGCACGTGTATATTTGCATGAGTGTGTGTGTGTGTGTGTGTATATGGATATATATATGGTGTATTTTGGGGGTTTTTAAGTCCGTTCTGCTGGGGTTTTGTTTTGTTTTGTTTTGTTTTTTTGTAATTTTAGGGGTGATGAACACTCATTGCGTTGTTAGGTGTCTTGTGTCCAAATTTCGTGTCAATTTGTCCAGTGGTTTTTGAGTTCTGTTAATCCCACAAACGAACATTACATTTTTATTTATATAGATTTGTCCTAGGTTTCAACAGTCCCACAACCTCTGAGGATGCCTACGATATATGCGGGTGAAACGTCAGGAGAGAATGCTTCTGAGACATGGCCAGACAGCCCGGAAAACTCACAAAAACCCAGTGTTTTCTGACCACTAAAGCCTTCGACAACACAGTTTTTTTTCTTTATTGAAGGAAAAGCTTAGCAACTGCTGGAAGCCTCCGAGGAAGATCCATAGGACCTCTCAATCACAGTTTCTTTGCATCAGATTCATAATGTCGCTTGAATTCCCCTCGGCATGAGATGTCTCCACTTTATTATTTTTCAAAGATGCGTGGCCGTGCTTTCACCATAGCAACCTGGGTACCAATGGCAATGGAGATACCATTAAAAACAGATGAGAGCAAAACAAAGACCTGTAGTTGAGAGGCAAACTCTGTTGGGGTGACATGCATTTGGGAGTTGTAGTTGCTGGGATTTATAGTTCACCTACAATCAAAGAGCATTCTGAACCCCCCCAACGATGGAATTGAACCAAACTTAGCACACAGTTCTCCCATGACCAACAGAAAATACTGGAAAGGTTTGGTGGGCCGTGTCCTTTGGAGTTGTAGTTCACCTACATCCAGAGATCCCTGTGGATTCCACCAGTGTTCACATTTGGGCATATTGAGTATTCATGCCAAGTTTGGTCCAGATCCATCATTGCATGAGTCCACGGTGCTCTCTGGATATAGGTGAACTACAACTCCTTCCAGTGTTTTCCACTGGTCATGGGAGTTCTGCGTGTCAAGTTTGGTTCAAATCCATTTGGGCATATTGAGTATTCATGCCAAGTTTGGTCCAGATCCATCATTGCATGAGTCCACAGTGCTCTCTGGATATAGGTGAACTACAAGTCCCAAACTCAAGGTCAATGCCCACCAAACCCTTCCCGTGTTTTCCATTGGTCATAGGAGTTCTGTGTGTCAAGTTTGGTTCAAATTAATCGCTGGTGGAGCTCAGAATGCTTTGATTATAGGTGTACTATAAATCCCAGCAACTAAAACTCCAATTACAAAATCAATCCTCCCCCAACCCCACTAGCATTCACATTTGGGTGTATTGGGTATTTGTGCCCAGTTTGGTCCAGATCTATCATTGTTTGAGTCCACAGTGCTCTCTGGATATAGGTGAACTACAACTCCCAAACTCAAGGTCAATGCCCACCAAACCCTTCCAGTGTTTTCCATTTCCATTCGATCCACCTAATTGTAGTTTTGCCTACTAATTTGTTTACCTTGTCGAAAGCCTTCCCGAAGTCCAGATACGCTATATCCGCGGCATTCCCCTTTTGCTCTCCCCTTTTCAGCAATACTTCATCCTCTTGATCATCACGGACGGCGTCATCAGCGACATGGACGAGACCCGGCACGCCATCGTCCAGGCCTCCAAGCTGCCCATGTCCATCATCATCGTAGGCGTAGGGAACGCCGACTTTGTCGCCATGGAGTTCCTGGACGGAGACAACCGGATGCTCAGGTCTTACACCGGAGAGGAGGCCGTGCGGGACATCGTCCAGTTCGTGCCCTTCCGCGAATTTCGCAGCGTGAGTACGGAAGGCGATATTGGAGGGGAGGGAGATGGTTCAATCAGTCTGTGAGAAATGAAGCTCAAGTTGAGATAGTTTGAGGAGGCCCTGCTCTCGATCTCGATCTGACGGGGACGAGAGATAGGGCCTTCTCATTGGTGGCCCCCTCGGCTGTGGAACTCCCTGCCTAGGGATATTAGATCAGCCTCCCTCCTGACCTTTTGAAAAAGAGTGAAAACCTGGCTCTTTGAGCAAGTGTTTGGAACTTCAGCCTGACCAGGGAAGAGAGACAGGGCCTTCTCTGGGGTGTCTCCTCAGCTGTGGAACTCCCTGCCTAGGGATATTAGATCGGCCTCCTCCCTCCTGACCTTTCAAAAAAGAGTGAAAACCTGGCTCTTGGAGCAAGCGTTTGGAACTTCAGCATGACCAGGGGCGAGAGACAGGGCCTTCTCTGTGGTGGCTCCTCAGCTGTGGAACTCCATGCCTAGGGATATTAGACCGGCCTCCTCCCTTCTGACCTTTCAAAAAAGAGTGAAAACCTGGCTCTATGCATTCCCCATAGGCACCCACAGCCTTGTTGCCAATGTGCCTCTCTTCCCAAAGGATGACCCTGAACTCCTTGTCAATTTGCCTGTTCCTCATAGATCTCCACAGCCCTCTTGCCAATGTGTCTCTCTTCTCCCGAGATGCTCACGGCCTCCTTGCCAATTGCTTTGCAATGGCTGGTTCCCAAAGTATCTTGTGCTGCACACCAAGTGTGAAAGGGACTGCAGATACTCCCTAGGTCAATAGTTCTCAACCTGTGGGTCCTCAGGTGTGAGGTCATCCACAGTTTTGGAGTTGGGCGCCATCTATATGCAGATGACACCCAACTCTACTACTCATTTCCACCAAACTCCAAGGAAGCCTCCCAGACCTTACTTACTTAGGCAATCCCTCATTGGCCGAGGAGGATAGACTTCCAGGATCAGTCCGTAGGTGACTGTGGGGCCCTCTTCTTGCTCTGCATCTTCTTCCGCAGTGAGGGCATTGGTTTCCAGGTGGAAAGCGCTCTCGGTCAGGATTGGCTTGACGTGCCTTCCTCTTGGCACGTTTCTCTCTTTCACCTTCCATTCGTGCCTCTTCAAATTCTGCAGCACTGCTAGTCACAGCTGACCTCCAACTGGAGCACTCAAGGGCCAGGACTTCCCAGTTCTCGGTGTCTATGCCAGAGTTTTTAAGATTGGCTTTGAGCCCATCTTTCAATCTCTTTTCCTGTCCTCCAACATTCCGCTTTCCGTTCTTGAGTTCGGAGTAGAGCAACTGCTTTGGGAGACGGTGGTCGGTCCAGCGGAGTTGATGGCGGAGGACCATCGCTTCAATGCTTAGTGGTCTTTGCTTCTTCCAGCACGCTGACGTTTGTCCACTTGCCTTCCCAAGAGATTTGAAGGATTTTCCGGAGGCGGCACTGATGGAATTGTTCCAGGAGTTGCATGTGGGCGGACAATAGCTTTATAAACAAGCACCTTGGTCTCCCTACGGATGTCCCAATCCTCAAACACTCTCTGCTTCATTCGGAAAAATGCTGTACTCGCAGAGCTCAGGCGGTGTTGTATTTTGGTGTCAATGTTGACTTTGGTGGAGAGGTGTCTGACAGCTGTGATGGACTGGATGAGGGCTAACAGGTTGAAGATTAATCCAGACAAGACAGAGGTCCTTCTGGTCAATCGTGGGGCCGACCAGAGTATTGGGTGGCAACCTGTGCTTGGCAGGGTTACACTCCCCCTGAGGGCGCAGGTCTGTAGCTTGGGGGTCCTCCTGGACTCAACGCTATCACTTGATTCTCAGGTGTCGGCGGTGGCCGGGAGGGCCTTTGCACAACTCAAACTCATGCACCACTTGCGACCATACCTCGCAAAGTCTGAGTTGGCCAGCGTGGTCCACGCGTTGGTTACATCCAGATTGGACTACTGCAATGCACCCTACCTGGGGCTGCCCTTGAAGACAGCCTGGAAGCTCTAACTGGTATAACGCGTGGCAGCCAGGCTCCTTACTGGAGCAAACCGAGAGTGTTTGAGGACTGGGACATCTGTAGGGATACCAAGGTGCCTGTTTATAAAGCTATTGTCCTCCCAACCCTGCTATATGCCTGCGAAACGTGGACTGTCTACAGACATCACATGAAACTCCTGGAACGATTCCATCAGCGTTGCCTCCGGAAAATCCTGCAAATATTTTGGGAAGACAAGCAGACAAATGCCAGTGTGCTGGAAGAAGCAAAGTCCACCAGCATTGAAGCGATGGTCCTCCACCATCAACTCCGCTGGACTGGCCACGTTGTCTGGATGCCTGAGCATCGTCTCCCAAAGCAGTTGCTCTACTTCGAACTCGAGAACGGAAAACGTTCTTTAAAGAGATTTAAAGATGGGAACAAAGTCAACCTTAAAACTGGCATAGACACTGAGAACTGGGAAGCCCTGGCCCTTGAGTGCTCCAGCTGGAGGTCAGCTGTGACCAGCAGTACTGCAGAATTTAAAGAAGCACGAATTGAGGGCGAAAGAGAGCAACGTGCCAAGAGGAAGGCATGTCAAGCCAACCACGATCAGAACCACCTTCCACCTGGAAACTGATGCCCTCACTGCGGGAGAAGATGCAGATCAAGAATAGGGCTCCACAGTCACCTACAGATCTGGAGGATTATCCTACTCGGACAACGAGGGATCACCTAAGTAAGTAATCTTAAGAGCTGGTAGAGAACCCCCAAAGGCATCGTTCATTGTGCCATGCAGGAAGATGCAATCAGAACACTCCCAACAGATGGCCATTCAGACTCTGAGGTCTTACTTCACTTCAAGGCGACCTGTTCCACTGCGAGATAGCTCTGACCATCCTAATGTTTAGGTGAAATCTTTTTCCCCGCATTTTGAAATCATTGCTTCATCTCCTTCCTCGATTTGATGTCCACGGGGTCCATAATGTCCTTCTTGTCTTTCAGGCCCCCAAGGAGACGCTGGCCAAAGCGGTCCTGGCGGAGCTGCCACAACAAGTGGTCCAGTACTTCAAGCAGCAGAACTTGCCGCCCATCAACTCCGAACCAGCGTAGGGTGGGATCCGCCGCTCTTTGCCTGCATGTTCCCCCAAAACGTGTCAGTGCCGGGCTGCATGCCTCATGTGGTTTCAGACAATTTTGTACTTTTTAATTTAAATGAGTTTATTTAAAAAACCAAACAAACAAATCCAGATCTCCCTTGAAAATGCAACACGAGCAGAGTCTGGATTGGAGCTCCAAAAAAAAAATAAATTACTGTTTTCCTCTCCTCGGTTACTCCAAGAACCAATTTTTAAATATTTGAATGTACTTTGTATGATTTTCTTTTGGTGGAACCAGAGAACATTTTCACAATTTCCCCCCCCCCCCCCCCCACAAATTATTATCGATATCTCCGTGCCCAAAGAAACGTGGACAGTTTATGGGTGTGTCGTACTTGTACTTCTCATGCGCTGTCTTTCATTTTTATACCGTGTACATGTTTCTCTTTGTAATACTCAGGTTAATAAACAAACATGGACTCTTTGCAGCTTCACGGAGCCCTCCTGTGGTCTGTGTCCTCAGCTCTGCTCTTCAAAGTTGGAACAGGAAGGAAAATGAAGGAAAACAGCCTAGGACAATGTCCCTTAAGCTAGCAGAGATGGAGGAACTATGGCATGTTTTGTGCCCACTGGAAACATCTCTCCTTTTCCTGGGAATATGGCAGGGACTTATCCAAATTCAGGGACCACCATGATGAGAAGCAGCAGTCTAAGCCCAAATTATATTTATTTATTTATTTATTTATCGAACTTATATGCCGCCACTCCCCTGGGGCTCGGAGCGGCTTACAAGAATGGCTAAAAACCTAACGCAATTTAAAAACAATTAAAAACAATTTTAAAACAGCAATATCAAAAATCAAAGGCCTGTCGAAACAGATATGTCTTACATGCCCTGTGGAAAGCTAATAAGTCCCGCAAGGCACGGACTTCAGGTGGCAGAGTATCCCAGAGTGATGGTGCCACTGCTGTAAAGGCTCTGCATCTGGTTGCAGTTAGACGCAAGGTCTTGACACTGGGAATTTCCAACAAATCTTGATCCTCAGAATGGAGGGATCTCTGGGGTTGGTAGGGGGTGAGGCGGTCCCTCAGGTACATCGGCCCCAGACCATGCAAGGCCTTAAAGGTGAGCACCGTCCCTTTGAAAGTGATCCGGTGCTCAATTGGTAATCAATGCAGCTGCAGTAAGACTGGTGTTATGTGGCATCTCATCAGAATTCCCGCAAGAAGCCGAGCAGCTGCATTTTGTACTAACTTGCACTTCCGGATCACCGACAGAGGAAGGCCAATGTAGAGGGCGTTACAGTAGTCCAGTCTTGAGATGACCGTAGCCTGGATCACCGTAGCTAGGTCGTCCCTGGACAAGGAGGGGGCCAGCCGTCTAGCCTGCCGCAGATGAAAAAAGGCGGTTCTGCTCACGGCGGAGACCTGGGCCTCCATCGTCAGCAGAGGGTCCAAAAGGACTCCCAGACTCTACCAATGATGATGGGCGTAGTGCCTCGCCATTCAGGGTAGGCAGCTGGATATCCCCACTGCCCGGTTAACCCAGCCATAGGATCTCCATCTTTGCTGGATTCACCCTCAACCTGCTGGCACGCAGCCATCCAATAACGGCCTCGAGGCACTGATGGAAATAATCGGGTACAGAGTCCGGTCTGCCCTCCATCCTCAGCACCAGCTGAGTGTCATCAGCATACTGGTAACACTCAAGCCCAAAACCTCGAACCAGCTGAGCAAGTGGTCGCATATAGATGTTAAACAGCAGAGGGGAGAGAATGGCCCCTTGAGGAACCCCACAAGATAGAGGGGACCTCTCAGAGACCAGGCCTCCCCTCTTCACTCACTGTCCACGGCTGTGAAGAAAGGAGGACAGCCAATTTAAAGCTCTCCCCCTGACTCACACCAACAGCGGTGGGTCAAAAGATTGTGGTCGACTGTGTCAAATGCTGCTGTGAGATCCAATAACACAAGCAGTACTGACCCGCCCTGGTCAAGCTGGCATCGAAGGTGATCCGTGATGGAGACCAGCACAGTCTCTGTCCCATGCCCCACACGGAAACCGGACTGGAAGGGATCTAGTCCGGCTGTGTCGTCTAGGAATTTCTGCAACTGCTCCGCTGCTGCCCTCTCAATCACCTTGCCCAGGAACGAGAGATTCTAAACTGGGCGGTAACTGGAGGCGACAGAACAATGGTTTCTGGTTTTTTCAGCAGGGGAGAGACCACCACCTCTTTTAAACCCTCTGGAAAAACTGCTTGCTCAAGGGAGCTTTTTATAATCTTCAACAGATTATGAACCTAGATTGCAATGCTTCACTCTGGGCTGTATAGAGCAGGCATGAGCAAACTTTCTAACTTGGGAGTCGCATGCTAGCATTATGGTTGGGGTCACCACAACATGAGGGACTGTATTAAGGGGTTGCAGCATTAGGAAGGTTGAGAATCACTGTTCTAGGAAGAGCAAAGTTCGCAAAGATTCTATCAGTAAGCCTGGAGGTGGAAAAAAGTTTCCCTTTGGGATTCTAATGCTCAATTTATAGGATCATAATTTCAGGGACAATCCGGCCCAACTTTTGCTACACAGGAATACACTTCCACCACAGTTACTTGCAATTTATTCAACAATCACAAGGTATTCCTAGGCCAGTCCACTGCTTTGCGTGGCTCCCCATTACTACTTACTTACTTAGGCGATCCCTCGTTGTCCAAGTAGGATAAGCCTCCAGGGTGGGTCCGTAGGTGACTGTGGAGCCCTATTCTTGATCTGCATCTTCTTCCGCAGTTGGTTTCCAGGTGGAAGGCTGTCTCGGTCAGGGTTGGCTTGACGCGCCTTCCTCTTGGCACCTTTCTCTCTTTCGCCCTCCAATCGTGCCTCTTCAAATTCTGCAGCACTGCTAGTCACAGCTGACCTCCAACTGGAGCGCTCAAGGGCCAGGGCTTCCCAGTTCTCAGTGTCTATGCCAGAGTTTTTAAGGTTGGCTTTGAGCCCATCTTTCAATCTCTTTTCCTGTCCTCCAACATCCCGTTTCTGTTCTTGAGTTCGGAGTAGAGCAACTGCTTTGGGAGATGGTGGTCGGGCATCCGAACAACATGGCCAGTCCAGTGGAGTTGATGGCGGAGGACCATCGCTTCAATGCTGGTGGTCTTTGCATCTTCCAGCACGCTGACATTTGTCTGATTGTCTTCCCAAGAGATTTTCAGGATTTTCTAGAGACAGCACTGATGGAATCGTTCCAGGAGTTGCTTGTGACGTCTGTAGACAGTCCACGTCTCACAGGCATATAGCAGGGTTGGGAGGACAATAGCTTTACAAACAAGCACCTTGGTATCCCTACGGATGTCCCGGTCCTCAAGCACTCTCTGCTTCATTTGGAAAAATGCTGCACTTGCAGAGCTCAGGTGGCGTATTTCGGTGTTAATGTTGACTTTTGTGGAGAGGTGGCTGCCAAATTAGCAGTAATAGTCCATATTTTCTAATGTTACACCAATAAGCTGTATTTCTGGCATTGGAGAGGGATTGGCTGGTGACTGCTGGAAGAGCACTTTGGTTTTCTCAATGTTCAATGACAGGCTGAGCTTCTTGTATGCTTCTGTGAAGGGGCCTGTAGGTCGTCTTCTTCTGAATGCGCACAGATGATGTTGTCATCAGCATACTGGAGTTCTATAACAGATGTTGTTGTAACCTTGGTTTTGGCTTACAGTCTGCAGAAATAGCTCGCCGTTTGTCCAATAGATGATTTCCACTCTGGTGGGAAGCTTCCCATCAACAGATGAAGTATCGTAGTGATGAAGATGGAAAATAAAGTTGGGGCAATAACAAATCCCTGTTCGACACCTGATTCCACCTTAAATCGGTCACTTTGCCATCATGTCATCATGGAGGAGCCACTTTGTTGCACCTTACCCGATAGCATTAGTATTCTCTCGCTTGCTCCAAACCGCCCCGCCCAACTATCCCTCAAAGTCCAATCCCCTCCTAACCCAATACTATTACCCTATGGGTACCATAACCTGGGACCAGGGGCGGCTCGAACCACTATGCAAAGTAAGCATTTGCGGTATAATGCATTTTGCCCAGGGGCGTTCTTGAGGCGCCTCCGTAAATGGTCCAGGTTTGCTCACACAGCAGTGGTTAGCAGAACTTCTCACCGTGGCCTTGCTCCCAACGGAGAAGAAGCAGCAGCACACAAAGAGGGGAGCCGCCATGTTGCTGCCGCCTCCTCCATGGGCCTAACCGGGCCCCTCCCTCCCTGCCGCCTCCTTTGCCTTGCCTTAGCCTCAGGAGAGGAAGCGCCGCTGCCGGGAGAGATGGTCCGCCGGGAGGAGGGCAGGAGGAGGACCATATGGCATGGGCCAACTTCGGCCCTACATGTGTTTTGGACTTCAACTCCCACAATTCCAAACAGCCAGTAGGAAGTCCAAATTTGCCCATGCCCCATATATAATTTTTCATTGATTGGTTTTTTTGGGGGGGGGGGGGCGCTAAAATACTGTTTGCTTACACTTGAAAATTACCTAGGGCCGGCCCTGCCTGGGACACCCTATGGAAAAAAACCAACAAGGTGACCATGATAAGCAGATGGTTCTCCAGAGAAATCAGTCCATCATTAGCGAGTTTAATCGTCAGCCTTTGGGGGGACAAAAATAAAAATGACAAGTTTTCATAGTATTCCTCTTTGTGTTCATTAACATTTAACTTTTGCATAAAAACAAACTCAAGAAGTACTGTAAACCTAAATGGCAGGAGTTAGGATCCTGCCCAGCAGCATGACTGGTTTTGTCCAAGCTTCCTAGATGTCATGACAAGTGTCCACTCTCTTTTATACACAATACAACTCCCTTATCCATGTTTCCACTCACCCATGTTCTAAAATAATTCCTCTCCTAAAATATTTGTGGGTTTCAGAAGGTCAAACCCAGGCATAGGCAAACTTTCTAATTTGGGGCCTACATGGTGGGCTGGAGCAGGCCAGAAAGGAGGTTTCCCCAAGCCCGTTCCCTGCCTTTTCCTCCCTTCCTCTTCTCTTTCGGAGGCAGAAACTAAAGGAAAGATGGGAAATATTTGGATCCCAAAAGGATTGGCCTTGGTCAGGATGAGATGGTGGATGGAGTGAAAAAGTGTATCCATGAGACCCCATATTGCCTACTCCTGATATAGAATCCTAGAGCTGGAAGAGACCCCCAAAGGCCATCCAGTTCAACCCCCTGCCATGCAGGAAGGCACAATCAGAGCACTCCCAACAGACAGCTTCTGTGGAAAAGCCTCCAGAGAAGGAGACTCCACCACACTCCGAGGCAGCCTAGGCCACTCTCCAACAGCTCTTACTCTCAGGAAGTTCTTCCTCATCTTTCCCATCAAATCCATTTCCATGTCATTTGAAACCATTGCTCCCTTCTTGTGCCCTGGTCTCTAGAGCAGCGGAAAATGTGTTTCCTCCTCCTCCTTCCTCCTCCTTCCTCCTCCATGGGAGGGACACCCTTTGAAATCTTGGAACATGGTTCTCATAGGAAGGAAAAAGAGAAGGAAGACAGGGAGGAAGAGAAGGATGGAAGGAAGGGTGGAAGGGAATGGAGGAGGAAAGAGAGAAGGAAGGAATGAATGAAAATAGGGAGGAAAGGATGGAAGGGAGGGAGGGAGGGAGGGAGGGAGGGGGGAGAGGAAGGAAAGAAAGAAAGAAGGAAAGACAAAAGGGAGGGAAGGCGGAAAGGGTAGAAAAGAAGGAAGGAAGGAAGGGAGGAAGGAAGGAAGGAAGGAAGGAAGAGTGGAAGGGAGTGGTGAGAAGGAGGAAAGAGAGAAGGAAGGAAAGACAAAAGGGAGGGAAGGAGGAAAGGGTGGAAGGGAAGGGGAAAAAGGAGAAAGGAAGGAAAGAAAGAAGGAAAGCAGGAAGGAAAAACAAAAGGGAGGGAATGAGGAAAGGGTGGAAGAGAAGGAAGGAGGAAGGAAAGAAGGAAGGAAAAACAAAAGGGAGGGAAGGAGGAAAGGGTGGACAAGAAAGAAGGAAGGGTGGAAGGATGAAAGAGTGGAAGGGAGTGGTGAGAAGGAGGAAAGAAAGAAGGAAGGTAAGTCAAAAGGGAGGGAAGGAGGAAAGGGTGGAAGGGAAGGGGAAAAAGGAGAAAGGAACGAAAGAAAGAAGGAAAGCAGGAAGGAAAAACAAAAGGGAGGGAATGAGGAAAGGGTGGAAGAGAAGGAGAAAAGAGAGAAGGAAAGACAAAAGGAAAGGAAGGAAAGATGAAAGGGTGGATGAGAAGGAAGGAAGGAAGGAAGGAAGGAAGGAAGGAAGGAGGAAGGAAGGAAGGAAGGAAGGAAGGAAGGAGGGAGAGGAGAAAGAGGAAGGAGGAAAGAAAGGGAAGGAAGAAGGAAAGGGAAAGGGAAAAGGGAAGAGAAAGGAAGGAAAGAAAGAAGGGAAGAAAACAAAAGACAGAGAAGGAGGAAAGGGTGGAAGGGAAGGGAGGGAGGGAATGTGGAAGGAAAGAAGGAAGGATGAAAGGGTGGAAGGGAATTGAGAGAGAGAGAAGGAAGGAAAAACAAAAGGGAGGGAAGGAAGGAAAGGAGAAAGAGAGAGAGGGAAGGCGGGAGGAAAAAGGGAAAGAAGGACAATGAACGGGTAGAAGGGAAGGAAGGAGAGAGAAAGAGGGAGGTACGGAAGGAAGGGATGGGCGAGAAGGAAGGAAGGAAAGAGAGAAAGCAGGAAGGATAGGATGGTGAGAGGAGGGCCTGAGAAAAGAGCCCAACGGGCAGTATCCAGCCTCCGTACCTGCCGTAAGGAGTCAAGCTTGGTGCCTTCATGGATATTATCTAAAGATTAATAGTCACAGAAAATACCACCCCTCTCAATTTACTATTGCTTTGATGTGCCTTCAAGACATTTATGATTGACGGCCACCCTACCATAGGGTTTTCTGGGATGGAGAGTGTGTAATTTGCCCAAAGTTGCCAAGTGAGCTTCCAAGAAGTCATCATCCAACACTCAAACCACGGTTTCAGAGGAAATGAGAAGAGAGAGACGTGCACAACAGCTTTGCGTACATTATTTTGGTATTCGGAAGGAAGGATGGACAGGAGAGAAGCAATCTGCGCGGAGGGTGGACCTGGATGACAAAGGAAACATTTCTTGTTAAAAGAAGTCCCAACCAAGCTCCGAAGAGGTGGAGAGAGTCCTACAGCGGGGTGTCAAAGAAGTTGCTGCCGCGGAAGACGGAGGAGACGATTTTTCCAGTGGAGTTGATGGTGCCCTCGCTGTCGGAGCTGGACTCGGAGTCGCTACTCCCAGAGTAGGCGCCCAGGCCGGGCAGGATCCCGATGCAGACGGCCGCCGAGGGGCAGTGGAGTGTGGAGCCACTCATAGAGCTGCCGCCCAGAGGAATGCAAGGCGGGGTTTCTTCACCGGGAGAAAGGAGAGAGAAAAGGAGAGGCAGGTTGCCCTTGTTTCTATCAAATCAGACCCAGGAACAGTGCCTAGCTGTTGGCTAACTGTTGACAATTGGCTAACTGGCTAACTTCATCACATGCAATAAAATCAGCGTGTCTACACGTTTAAGAAACAGCTACTCACGGAGCCCATCGCACAACACAAGCTCATACTGTGGGTTCCATGCATTTAGCCATTTCTAAAGTGGTTTTTTTTCGTATGCTTCCTAAGTCGATTGGGAATTGACTTTTTTAAAAATTCCCTGCATAGACACGTGTAAACACACGGAATTGAACATGTGATGGAAAGTCTCCATTGTCCGCTTGTAAAGATAATGTTGTTGTTCTGGAGGGAGGAGCCAAGATGTCCGGTATAGATTCCTTTCTTCCACCATAATATTTAGATCCAAGGAGGAAGGAATGGTAATTTATTGTATATACTCGAGTATAAGCCAAGTTTTTCAGCCCTCCTTGGCTTATGCTCAAGTCAAAGTTATTAATTATTTTACTATATTATTATTATTATTATTACTATTACTACATTTATTATTTTACTCTATTATTTTTGTTACATTTATTATTATACTCTATTTGTTATTATTACAATTATTATTTTACTCTATTATTATTATTGTTATTATTACATTTACATTATTTTACTCAATTACTTTATTACAGTTATTATTTTATTCTATTTCTTATTATTACATTTATTATTTTACTCTATTATTATTATTATTAGATTTACATTATTTTATTCTATTATTTTATTACAGTTATTATTTTATTCTATTTTTTATTATTACATTTATTATTTTACTCTATTATTGTTATTACATTTGTTATTTTACTCTCTTTATTATTATCATCACATTTATTATTTAACTCTATTATTATTATTATTATTATTACATTTATATTATTTTACTCTATTATTTTATTAGTTATTATTTTATTCTATTTCTTATTGTTACATTTATTATTTTACCCTATTATTATTATTACATTTGTTATTTTACTCTATTATTATTATATTTATTATTTTGCTCTCTTTCTTATTTTTATTACATTTATTATTTTACTCTATTTATTATTATTGTTATTACATTTATCATTTTACTCTATTATTATTACATTTACATTATTTCACTCTATTATTTTATTACAGTTATTATTTTATTCTATTTCTTATTATTACATTTAGTATTTCACTCTATTATTATTATTATTACATTTGTTATTTTACTCTATTATTTTAATCACATTTATTATTTTACTTTATTCATTATTATTGTTATTCCATTTATCATTTTACTCTATTATTGTTGTTATTATTACATTTACATTATTTTACTCTATTATTTTATTACAGTTATTATTTTATTCTATTTCTTATTATTACATTTAGTATTTTACTCTATTATTGTTATTACATTTATCATTTTACTCTCTTTATTATTTTTATAACATTTATCATTTTACTCTATTCATTATTGTTATTATTATTACATTTACATTATTTTACTCCATTATTTTATTACAGTTATTATTTTATTCTATTTATTATTATTACATTTATTATTTTAATCTATTATTTTTATTACATTTATCATTTCACTCTATTATTATTACATTTACATTATTTTACTCTATTATTTTATTACAGTTATTATTTTATTCTATTTCTTATTATTACATTTAGTATTTTTACTCTATTATTTATTACATTTATTATTTACATTATTATTATTATTATTATTATTATTATTATTACATTTATTATTTTCCTCTCTTTATTAGTATTGGAGGATCTTCTTTTATGTTTTTCCCCTTTATGAAAAGAGATGGACTTCTAAGCAAATGTTGATAGATAAATCTACTGATGGACGGGCCAGCCGATACAACAGTTGGTAAACAGCCTCTATTTATTGTCTACCCAATTAAAAGCGAATAATTATAATATTGCCAAGTGGGGTTCTAACTGCAAAATAATGTGAAATCGGTGCTCCCTGCAATTCTCCAATTTCTAAGAAAGTGGAACCTAAACTATTTTGCTTTTGGGAAAAAGTGTAAGGCATAATTACAGCATAATTCTAATTTAGCATCCTTCCAAATAAACTTATTTGAGTTTCAAGATTGTCAGAGCAAGGCTTTCTCTCAATCCCACTACCTTCACAGGCATTTTTTAAAAAAACTTTTAGATTTCTATAGAGAACTCCTTCCCACAACTGACCCACCAGTGAGATGTTCACAAGGTCAACTTGACCAGTGCAGAATTCCCTCAAAAGACATGGAAACACTGTTATTTACCCGTCGTCTTGTTATTTACCTGTTGCCTTGTCGTGGTCCGGATCTGGATCCAGCTTCAGTCTCTTTACGCTATTGGCACCATCAGAACTACAAAACAAGGTGACAGCAGAAACTGACTTTAAGAATACTTTGACCACGAAGGTACACACACTGAGGCTGGTATAAGTTAACCAAGAAGCAAGAATGTTTATTGAACAGGCTTAAAATTAATTCAGGTACAAATGTGTAATGGTTTCAGAAAGTTCTGGCATGAAAAGTTTGTGGTTGTGTATGAGTAAAATCATAAACACTTCTGGGTTACAAATCTTCAAAGTGGTGGAACTTTGAAGACTTGTAATGTGGTGGCAAAAAAAGCCAATGGGATTTTGGCCTGCATCAAGAGGAGCCTAGCGTCTAGATCTAGGGAAGTCATGCTCCCCATGCTCTATTCTGCTTTGGTTAGACCACACCTGGAATATTGTGTCCAATTCTGGGCACCACAATTCAAGAGAGATATTGACTTTAAGCTGGAATGTGTCCAGAGGAGGGCGACTCAAAGGATCAAGGGTCTGGAGAACAAGCCCTATGAGGAGTGGCTTAAAGAGCTGGGCATGTTTAGCCTGAAGAAGAGAAGGATGAGAGGAGATATGATAGCCATGTATAAATATGTGAGAGGAAGCCACAGGGAGGAGGGAGCAAGCTTGTTTTCTGCTTCCCTGGAGACTAGGACGCTGAACAATGGCTTCAAACTACAAGAAGGAGATTCCATCTGAACATGAGGAAGAACTTCCTGACTGTGAGAGCCGTTCAGCAGTGGAACTCTCTGCCCCGGAGTGTGGTGGAGGCTCCTTCTTTGGAAGCTTTTAAGCAGAGGCTGGATGGCCATCTGTCCGGGGTGATTTGAATGCAATATTCCTGCTTCTTGGCAGAGGGGTTGGACTGGATGGCCCATGAGGTCTCTTCCACCTCTCTGATTCTATTATTCTAGGTGTGCCAAGCATACCTCTACCTCCTCCTCGCCATTCTCTCCACTGTCAATATGTAGCCCCCTCCGTGGCGGTTTAGTTGCCAGGAAAAAGTGTAGGTATCCAGGCAACATTCAGCGGCACTTCTGTAGCCAAGGACGCAAAGAAAATATCGTTCTCTGGAGGTGGCTTTTCCTTCGGTGCCAAGGACACTTGCGAATAACACGGAACCACAACACTCACCTTCGATGTTTCACAGCTCCGGCCAACAGCTTCGCCTGGGAGAACTTGCCCTTGCTTTCTGTAGGTTTCACCGCCAACTTCTTCTCCGCCTCCTTCTTCAGGTCCGCACTGGCCCCCACCTTGGCCAAAGTGCTGTGAATTCAAGGTTCAGGACCAAAATGGCATTTGAGGAGGGAGCGCAGGGATGGAAGGAACAAAGAGGCCCAAAACACAGCGCCCACAATGACAACTGACGCCAAATAAGCAAAAACAACAATGCAGGCAAAACGTCAGGAGAGAATGCTTCTAGAACATGGCCATATAGCCTGAAAAATCTACAATAACCCAGTGATTCGAGAGGTCAGATGTCTGTTGGAAATGGGGCAAGTGGAGTGAGTGTGTGTGGTGTGTGTGTGTGTATATGGAATGTCTGGGCCCTTCGGTGGCGCAGCAGGTTAAATCGCTGAGCTGCTGAAACTTGCTGACTGAAAGGTTGGCAGTTCCCAGTGAGCAGACTGAGCTCCCACTGTTAGCCCCAGCTTCTGCCAACCTAGGAGTTCGAAAACATTAAATGTGAGTAGATCAATAGGTACCGCTTCTGCAGGAAGGTAATGGTGCTCCACGCAGTCATGCTGGCCACATGACCTTGGAGGTATCTATGGACAATGCCGGCTCTTTGGCTCAGATATGGAGATGAGCCAGGGCTAACAGATTCGAACCAACAACCTTTCGGTCAGCAAGTTCAGTGGTTTAACCCACTGCGCCACCAGGGGGCCCTCTTCTTCTGGAATGTCAATAATGTTATTTATTTATATTTATTTATATTATTATTATTATTTTATAATTCAACACATCAGTTGTTGAATTATAAAATAATTCCACTGATGTTCTACTGGAAAATGCGTCCACCTGGCTGAGGATCATAACTGGAGCTTATTTTGAGGGTAGGGCTTATATCAGTGTTTCTCAACCTGGGGGTCGGGACCCCTGGAGGGGTTGCAAGGGGGTGTCAGAGGGGTCACCAAAGACCACCAGAAAACACAGCATTTTCTGTTGGTAACGGGAGTTCTGTGTGCCAAGTTTGGTTCAATTCCATCGCTGGTGGAGTTCAGAATGCTCTTTGATTGTAGGTGAACTATAAATCCCAGCAACTACAACTCCCAAATGTCAAGGTCTATTTTTCCCAAACTCCACCAGTGTTCACATTTGGGCGTATTGAGTATTCGTGCCAAGTTTGGTCCAGATCCATCATTGTTTGAGTCAACAGCGCTCTCTGGATGTAGGTGAACTACAACTCCTACACTCAAGGTCAATGCCCACCAAACGCTTGTTGGTCATGGGAGTTCTGCATGCCAACAGTTCCATCGTTGGTGGAGTTCAGAATGCTCTTTGATTGTAGGTGAACTATAAATCCCAGCAACTACAACTCCGAAATGTCAAGGTCTATTTTTCCCAAACTCCACCAGTGTTCACATTTGGGCGTATTGAGTATTCGTGCCAAGTTTGGTCCAGATCCATCATTGTTTGAGTCAACAGCGCTCTCTGGATGTAGGTGAACTACAACTCCTACACTCAAGGTCAATGCCCACCAAACCCTTGTTGGTAATGGGAGTTCTGTGTGCCAACAATTCCATCGTTGGTGGACTTCAGAATGTTCTCTGATTGTAGGTGAACTATAAATCCCAGCAACTACAACTCCCAAATGACAAAATCAATCCTCCTCCCAACCCTATCAGTATTCAAATGTGGGCGTATGGGGTATTTGTGCCAAATTTGGTCCAGTGAATGAAAATACATCTTGCATATCAGATATTGACATTATGATTCCTAACAGTAGCAAAATGCCAGCTATGAAGGACCAACAAAAATAATGTTATTTTTGGGGGTCATCACAACATGAGGAACTGTATTAAGGGGTCGCGGCATTAGGAAGGTTGAAAAACACTGGGTTAGGTCTTATTTTCAGGGAAACGGGGTAGTTATATGAATATACATGTGAACTAACACTGTATATTCATATCCAAACGACTAAGCCAATACGAACATGCTTTGGGTATATGATGAGATGCATGACTCAATGGGGAAAACTCAGCAAAGTGACAATGCAATAGGAATGAATAGAGGACACCACATTACAGCACAGAAGCAATGACTCTGAATCTGAACGATTTGGACAGTTGTCATAGAGATCGCTCACTTGTAATGTGGCTACACATACGAACAAAACCATTATCAAATAATTCAAGTAAAATCTATATAAATAAAAATGTAATGTTAGGTTCTTCTGGGTTTTTTCGGGCTTTATGGCCATGTTCTAGAGGCATTTCTCCTGACGTTTTGCCTGCATCTATGCCAAGCATCCTCAGAGGTAGTGAGGTCTGTTGGAACTAGGACAAAGGGTTTATATATCTGTGGAATGACTGGGGTGGGGCCGAGAGCTCTTCTCTGCTGGAGCTACGTGTGAATGTTTCACCTGACCACCTTCATTTGCATTTGAAGGCTTGGCTGAGCCTGGGAAAATCTTTTGTTGAGATGTGTTAAGCTGTGCCTGGTTGTTTAAATGTAATGTTAGTTCGTGCTACCATCAGAACTCAAAAACCACTGGGGGAATTGACACCAAATTTGGACACAAGACACCTAACAGTCCAATTTATGTCCTCCACTCAAAAAAATTGATTTTGTCATTTGGGAATTGTCGTTGCTGGGATTTATAGTTACCTACAATCAAAGAGCATTCTGAACTCCACCAATGATGGAATTGGGCCAAACTTAGCACACAGGGCTCCCATGACCAACAGAAAAAACTGGAAGGGTTTGGTGGACATTGACCTTGAGTTTGGGAATTGTAGTTCACCCACATCCAGAGAGCACTGTGGACTCAAACAATGATGGATCTGGGCCAAACTTGGCACGAATATTCCATATGCTCAAATATGAACACAGATGGAGTTTAAGGGAAATAGACCTTGACATTTGGGAGTTGTAGTTGCTGGAATTTATAGTTCGCCTACAATCAAAGAGCATTCTGAACTCCACCAATGATGGAATTGAACCAAACATGGCCTACAGGACTTCCATGACCAACAGAACACACTGGAAGGGTTTGCTGAACATTCACCTTGAGTTTGGGAGTTGTAGTTCACGTACATCCAGAGAGCACTGTGGACTCAAACAATGATGGAGCTGGACCAAACTTGACATAAATATTCCATATGCCCAAATATGAACACAGATGGAGTTTGGAGGAAATAGACCTTGACATTTGGGGTTTGTAGTTACTGGGATTTATAGTTCACTACAATTAAAGAGCATTCTGAAACTCACAAATGACAGAAATGGCGCAAACTTCCCACACAGAACCCCCTTGACCAACAGAAAATACTCAAGGCCATCCAGTCCAACTCTCTTCACCAGGTCAAGAAAACGTAATCAAAGTCCTCCTGACAAAGAGCCATCCAAACATAAATATAGATAGTTAGAGATGATTCTCACAGACAGAGAGATATAATATCATAGATTGGAAAGAGACCCTTAAAGAAGGACTATGATATGTTGCATATTCCAGAGTAGCCAAACCAGACACTCTCCACATCCACACTGACAAAGAAACAACAAGAAATACTGTTTACTCACAAGCAGAAAGGAATTACATAGATTAGAAACCAACACTTTCTCATTACTTTATTTTCCAGATCACCAGACTGGGCCACAGCAACACGTGGCAGGGGACAGCTCGTCTATAATAAAATATTTCACCCATCACACCACTCTGTGTCATATTCCACAACAATCCTTAAGCAAGCTCAGGTCCACAGTCCATTCCATGCTTTAGTTCCGCATGAGGCCAATATCTTTGCTGAATGACACAAAAGCATCCTAACTCACAACCGAGTGAAAATTACACAGATGGTTCCAACTGAGCAAATGGAAATCCATGTGGTAATCATTTAATCCTTTTACAGAATCTTCCCTCTTTGAAGCTGAAATTTCCACTGGAAAGAAATCCCCCATTATGGAGTGGAAAACATTCCACGGGAAAAAATGGTCAATGCTTTATTATTATTTTTTCCATGGAAAATTTCCATACAATCTCTCTCTATTCCTTTCCCTAGTTGCCTGGGCGGTTGTACTGCAATATTAGATAGGCGACATACAGGGAGCATACCACCCCCTTGCTATGCCAGCTCCACTGGCTGCCGGTCCATCTCCGAGCCCAATTCAAAGTGCTGGTTTTGACCTATAAAGTTCTATACCAGGGGTCCTCAAACTAAGGCTCGCGGGCCACTTCCGGCCCGCCAAGGGCACTTATCGGGCCTGCGGAGGAGGAGCGCCCCCCCACACACATTGCCCCTTCCTTGGTTGGCTCATGCCATCTGTCAGGCCCGATGGGCAGTGTGAGCCAACCAAGGGCGGCTTCTCTCATGTCCCCGCTTGAGGAGCTGGGGCTGGTAGAGGGAGCTCATCCGGCTCTCCCCGGATTTGAACCTGCAACCTGTCAGTCTTCAGTCCTGCCTGCACAGGGGTTTAACTCACTGTGCCACCGGGGGCTCCATAATAATAATAATAATAATAATAATAATAATAATAATAATAATTGTTGTTGTTGTTGTTCATTCGTTCAGTCGTCTCCGACTCGTCGTGACCTCATGGACCAGCCCACGCCAGAGCTCCCTGTCGGCCGTTACCACCCCCAGCTCCCTCAAGGTCAGTCCAGTCACTTCAAGGATGCCATCCATCCATCTTGCCCTTGGTCGGCCCCTCTTCCTTTTGCCTTCCACTTTCCCCAGCATAATTGTCTTCTCTAGGCTTTCCTGTCTCCTCATGATGTGGCCAAAGTACTTCAACTTTGTCTCTAGTATCTTTCCCTCCAGTGAGCAGCCAGGCTTTCTTTCCTGGAGGATGGACTGGTTGGATCTTCTCGCAGTCCAAGGCACTCTCAGAACTTTCCTCCAACACCACAGCTCAAAAGCATCGATCTTCCTTCGCTCAGCCTTCCCTAAGGTCCAGCTCTCACATCCGTAGGTGACTATGGGGAATACCATGGCTTTGACTAGGCGGATCTTTGTTGCCAGTCTGATGTCTCTACTCTTTACTATTTTATCGAGATTGGACATTGCTCTCCTCCCAAGAAGTAAGCGTCTTCTGATTTCCTGG